ATAGGGGAAGTGGGGGCATAACCGCATATGGAGGCACAACCGTTTTTTAACATTTCTCTTCAAAAAATGTTATCTGATATGGCAAAAAACATCCCACGCGTTATTAAAACAGTTTCCTTCATTTTGCATATTTCAAAAAGAGTGGCTGTTAAGTTTCTGAGAAGTTGTGAATAATATTTTTTATTTTGATAAAAATATTATATTTACATCATATTTTTCCTGACCTTCTTTTTGAGAATTAAGCAATATTTAATTTTAGTGTTAAAAATATGTGTTATCAGCATTATTTCATGAAGTGAAAGTCATTTTTGATAATACCATAATCTAATAATTAATCTATGAAACTGAATTTTTTCTAAAAACTCTCTTCTGGGGCAGAACTCAAAATGTAAACACAAAGAATGCCTGCACAATATGCAAACATGCAACAAAATCATCAAATCATCTGAGCTGTGAAAATTGTAAAATAAATGTAACATGAAAGGTGTAGCCCCATCGATTTTTTTGAGGGTGCTGTTGTGCCTCACAATGGGGGCAAAACTGTTTTTTTTACTAAGTGTAATTTTTCTGTTATAACATTTTCAAAAAGTGGTTATTGAAATAAACTGCTAAAAAAAAACACATTTCGTTTTTATTTTCATATAACATTATTCCAAACGTTACGGGGGCGGTTATGCCCCTACTTCCCCTATATATATATATATATATATATATATATATATATATATATATATATATATATATAATATATATATATATATATATATATATATATATATATATATATATATATATATATAATATATATATATATATATATATATATATATATATATATATATATATATATATATAAATATATATATATATATATTTATATATATATATATATATATATATATATATTATATATATATATATATATATATATATATATATATATATATATATATATATATGTATATATATATATATATATATATATATATATATATATATGTATATATATATATATATATATATATATAAATATATATATATATATATATATATATATATATATATATATATATATGTATATATATTTATATATATATATATATATATATATATATATATTATATATATATATATATAATATATATATATATATATATATATATATATGTATTAGGTGCATCAAACGCCCCATACTTTTAAAAATATATACATATATATATATATAGTATTTTTAATAATATATATATATATATATATATATATAAATATATACATTATATATATATATATATATGTATATATTTAAAAATATATACATATATATATATATATATTATTTTTAATAATATATATATATATATATATATATATATATATATATTATATATATATATATATATATATATTTATATACACATATATATACATTATATATATATATATATATATATATATATATATATATATATATATATATATATATATATATATATATATATATATATATATATAAATATATATATATATATATATATATATATATTATATATATATATATATATATATATATATAAACATATATATATATACATATATATATATATATATATATATATATATATATTATATATATATATATTATATATATATATATATATATATATATATATTATATATATATATATATATATATAATATATATATATATATATATATATATTATATATATATATATATATATATATATATATATATATATATATATATATATATATATATATATATATATATATATATATATATATATATATATATATATATATAGTGTGTGGATACAGCGTTTTTTAGTGTTTGAGCTAACTTCTAGTCATGGAGTAAACTCAAAGGATGTTTTGCAAAAGATTGCAATTGGGTAGAAAAGTTTTTTTAATTTGCAACTTTTTTATAGGATGGAGGGGGGGGGATGCACCCAAACGCGAACGTGATAGCAACAAAAAAGTTAATAAAATATTTTTTTGTTTTTTGTTTTTTAATTTGTTATTTTAGGTGCCCTAAGAAATCTTAACGGTCTTGTCACAGAGCACCGCGGAAGTGCATTTAACCAGAAAGTTCACGCCTCCTTCCTTACCGTGACGCGAGATATGTCTAAAGTTCGTTTCGAACCTGGATCTCCTGCTTATTAAGCAAGCGCTCTAACCACTTTGTCACGGCCGCACTAATTCTTAACTTAATTTATATTCATCGAAAAATTTTAAACTTAAAATACAAAAACCTCTCAGCGTTCAAACATTTTAAATTTTTCTGATCTCATCCGTAATCGTAAAAAACAGTTTTTCGTGGTTACCGAAAAACAGTTGTCGTGGAAAAAAAACCTTCATAAAATTCTTTTTTTATTTTTGTATGATAAGATTTTTAATCTTAGGATTTTTTATTGAGATTACTTTTTTTAAAGTGCCTTTATTTTTAAATTTCAATTGCAACAATATAAAGCTAAGTTTCCGAAAAAAGATCATAAGGATATTCATTGGATTTTTAAACTCATTTATTTATAATATGTTGATATATTGAAGGCTTAACATAATGCAAAGATACATCATACTAACATTTTTATATACAACATGCTGAAGATTTAACATTTATACTTTACAATGAATTTTCGTAGCCTTTTAAAATATTTGGGTTCATAATTTAGAATATTAAAAGCTAATAGCTCATTAGCACAGAATTATTTTTAATAAATTAATTTTTCATAAAAGTCTTTCAAGATTTTTTATAGTGTATTCAAAAAGATTGCGTCAATTTTATAATTTTAATATTATAAGAGAAATCTGAGTTTCACAACATTGTTACACCACAAGAAATTTTTTCAAAACATAATATTCACCCTAAGTTTTGTGTGACCTTTATGTGTTGAATGTGATTTTTCATTTCAAAAAAAGTTTTTTGTTTTTTTAATTTTAGTTCTAAAGGATTGGTATTAAAGTAACTAATATATGTTTGTTTATAAAATAAATGTTTTTAACACATGCATAACTTTAACTAAACGTAATTTTTAATATATGCACTGATATATGCTTTTAATACAAACTTTATTTATCATATACTTTTTTTACAAATGCTTTTCGAAGTTTTGTTTTTACTCTAATTTTTGAATAATGTTTTTGTTGGAGATTATACACCCCCCTATACCCCCCTAGGAACGGCTCTCTGTACTTTCTGCATTTATTTAATAACAATTTAAAATTTTCAAGAATAATCTGATTGATGTCATAATATTCATCTACTTTATCTTCTGATAAACGACTCTTTTGAAATCTCTAATTGATATTATGGTATAATTTGTAAGATAGCCGTAAAGTCAATGCTAAAACTCTTTTTAAATATGTTTGCATTTAGATAAAATAAAAAATTTTCAACTTGTTCATTTTAAATTGGTAAACACTTTACCTATTTAAAATGAACAAAATTGGGTGGGAAAAAAATAATTTTTGAACTTTCCACAAAGTTTTTTTTGTTTGTTTTATATTTCAATAGCAAATAAACCAATTTTTAAAGTCGTAAAACAAATTTGAATCAGCGTGTTTTAAAAGAGTGGATTTACTCAAAACGTTTTTAGCAAATCCTCCCTAAAAAAATACTGATTTATTTGTAGGTAATAATTTGACACCTTTAGTAATAGTGAACGTTGTACATTTGAAACTTTCACTATTATTCTAAATTGTTTTATTTCGAAATAAAGATTTTTTAAAATTTCTCTTATTTTTATAGTTTTCGGGTTTTAACAAACATCTTTTATTGGTTTCAATTAAAAAGTGTGTAAATTTATATTAAATCATAAAGTTGTTTCACAAGCCAGTGTAATTTATATTATGTATTATTACCAAATATTATTTCATGATTATATCGAAGTTAAACACCTATAAGTTATTAAAACCAAAAAAAAGTTCTGCGCATATTTCAGAAACAAACATATTTCTTCTTTTTCACAGAATAACACCATCCATTTTTCGAAATTTTTTTAGATATATGGTTATAAATCCCAAAAAATTTTAAGTTGGATGAAGTAATTTTTTTTTTAATGCGTGCTGATATTAAAGATGGTAGACGTATATTTGTGTAAATAAAACAAAACAGTATTATAACGCTCCATAAAAGTTATATAACTTTGTTATATCAAATAAACTAAACACAAACTACTTCAAATTTAGTCTTAATTTTTTTTCTATGTATTAAAGTCTATAAAATGGTTACTTAAAAACAATTAGAAGAGTTAACAAACAGATTAGTTGATTGGAGAGGAGGGATACCGACAGTATCCCTCCTCTCCAAATCAACTAACTAAGCAATCGGTATCATACCGATCACTTTCTCATCTGAGAGATTAAGAACTTTCGAAAATCTGAGAGATTTAGAACTTGGAAAAACTAGAAAAACAGTAAAATTTTGGATTGGAGCAAGTTATTTAATAAAAAGGCTACTAAATCAAGTGATGAACTCAGTATTATCAACTTTGTTACAAATGAAGCAAAAGTTAGAGATTTTAGATGAAAATATTAGCTTATAATAAAAATGAATATTTTTAATTTTATTCCCAGTTAACCATTCCAATTGGTTCCCGGCTGGGACCCAACTGGGGAAAATGATGGGACCCATATGGTTTTTCACATAGGTCCTATTGCGATTCTGTCAGTGGGATCCAACTGGGTCCCATCTAGGATTAGTCTGGGTTTTTTACGGGAAATCCCATATTGAACCCAGATATTTTTTTCATTTACCGCGGGTTTTCTTAATTTTTTATAGTTTGTTTTTCGCAGACTTTTTGTATCTCGAATCTGCTAAATAATGTGCCAATTTTTAGATAAAATAGCGTCGCATTTTTTATATAAAATTAAAAAGTAAAGGTTTATCTATATTAAATTCGCTGTCAAGGCAATAAAATGTACAAGGCAAATGAATATTTGGTCTAACATAACTTTTACGAATCAATTGAATAAAGATAATTTTGAATTTCATAATATTTTTAAGCAACAAAAAACTAATATTATACAATGATTTGATGCAAAACTGTTCTACGATAGTAATATTCTGCCACATTAGTTCTCTCATATCGCGACCATAATCACTGCCACAATAGTTCTTTCATATTGCTACCATAAAGTTTTTTAGTGCTTTCATCCACTTTTGCACTAATTTTATAAATTAAAAATAAACATTTAAATAATATAATAATTTATAGCATATATATTTACAAAGTATAGATAAAAATATTTATTGATAATATTATTTAGGGCATACCATGCAGAGTGCCATACCATGCAATATCTTGCATATAACTAACAAACACTAGGCAAACAAATACACACGTACAAATCACAAGCTAACTCAATACAGTATATAAATCGATATACGAGTTATAACAATATCCAGATTGAAGTAGAGGCCTCTTCAGTTGCCATCATCTAGTTTTAAAGTTTCTTCAGTTTTTCTTTTTAACAGGCAAATTGTAGGGAATCTAAAACAATGTTATTTCACGGTAAATGTTTGATGTTATTAATTAGGTATGACATAAATAGACTTGTTAACAACAATAATATAACATGACTAAAATATTAGCATTTAAAATTTAAAGTCTTGACTCAAGTTAACCTGACATCAAACCCTTAAATCAGTTGGTGAGGGTTTAATATCTTTTATATATTTTAATAAATGCAAAAATAATCAATATCACTAACATTTAGATTTTATTTATCTTTTTTTTTTTTAAACATCTTCGCTTCCAACAAGGCTACAAGCAACCACTAGTTAGTGTTGGAAGATACTGGAAGAGAGAAGATGAAGATTGTAGAGTAAGATACCGATTGACAGACGACGTAAAAGATTGCAAGTTATATGAATCTGGAAAGCAAAATAAAGCAAGCGAATTCCAAAGAACTGATGTTCGCGGAAAAAAACTAGACTAATGAGTTTTTGGAGCACTTAGGAACAGTAATAGAAAAAGGATGAGACTTAATTGAATGACGAGTAACACAAGAATGAATTTTAGTAGATGACACAAGTGGTGCTAGCTCTTTGGAGCAGTGCCCATTATGGTATTTGTAGAAAAGAGAAAGAGAAGCAACATTACGGCGATGTGATAAAGGTTGAAGGTTGGCTGCAAGAGCAGGTCCAATTATGTTTACAATGCGTTTTTGCACCTTGTCTAAAAGAGAAAGAGCATCATTAGAAGATCTGCCCCAGATATGGCAACAGTATTCCATACAAGGCCGGATTTGAGATTTATAGAGATAGAAAATAGAATCCAGAGTAAGAAAGTGTTGAGCTCGATAAAGAGATGCAACTTTACCAAATCCTAATTTTGCAACGAATTTGATATATGTTTCCAAGAAAGGTCAGAAGTAAGAGTTAACCCTAGAAGATGAAGGGTAGACAGGGTAACCACACTTTTTTTGTTTAAAAATATTAGGATAATTTAGGATAATATAGGAGATTTTTAAGGTTTTTAAGGAGATTTATTGGGAAATTTGAAAAAAAAGGATAAAAATCTTAGGAGATTTTAGGAGGTTCAAAAATAAAGTGGCACTTAAAAAAATTTTCATTTTATTTAAAAACTGTAAGAATGCCTAGCTAAAATAATTAAGACAAAATTAGGTTCCAAACAAAAATATTAACTTAAAACAAATCATACTTGCATTAGAAATTTAACAAATTTAACATTGCATTAAAAAGATGACTTTATGACTAAGTAACAAACAATAAATAATCAAAAATCGTTAAAATACACAGCCAAACTATTTTATGTTTTATATTATCCAGTCATAAAAAGAAATAATCAAATCAGAAAAACAAAACGATTGAAAAACTATTTTTCCTCGTTCACTTTTGCAACAGTAGTTTAAAATTGTGAATACTGTAATTTGGCTTGATCAGCAACTGAAGGTGATGCCTTTTTATAAGCAACTAATTTCAGCAACAACTTGTCAAAATAAAGTTCACACATCTAATGAGATTCAACCATGTACAAAGGTGATAAACATAATAAGTATCTGGCAAAGTATGAGTTTAGAGCACTTTTTTCAATCATATGTTTGCACATTGTAACTAAAAACTGTTGAACTTCTGTTTTAAAATTATAGATTTGTGCATCAGTACCTTTTTTCTAGATTTCAGTTGTTGCATATCATATTTTATTCCAAACCCAAGATCAATAGTTGCAACCAACACTTGATTTTTGACAGCACTGGTATCAACTTTTAATAATTTAAAAGTTGTGGATGCTTCAGACAAAACTTATTTTTTGATAAATTTTGATAAAAATAACCTTAGTAAATTCTCAAGTGTTTCCACAAGAAAAGGTGTCAAAAGATTGTTGGTTTGGAAAACTAACAAAAAAGAATTTAACAGTTTTGCAGTTTCCTTAAAAAATGGCAACTTTTTAAGGACTAACACATCTTTATAGCATGAAGAAATTTATTCATAACTAGTATTTTGCCCAGGATTATATTGAATAGGTTTCTTGCTTTTTGGTAAATTTTTTCAAAAGTCAATAATCACAATAACCTTGGGCCATATTTCCGTAGCTCTCTTTGCTGCTTTCTCATTTTCAATCTAACGATGGCTACAGATCTGTAGAGCATAGTCTGAAGACTGAGCTTGAGTAAGATTTTTGAAATCAGCACGACGAGAAGGAATCTTATGGAATATTTTGTGAAATGGAGACAGCAATTTGTTCAATTTCCATCGTAAAGCATTTATACCATTCTTGAATGAACAGTAAATTTCATGAAGGCCGCATGATTCAATTGATACTAAATGACTGAGTTCACATTCACTTCCCTTAGCATAGAGAGAGGAAAGACATGTTAACATTTGGACCATCCATGAAAACCTGGAGCATTTTATCTTCTTCTAAATCACTCATACATTTACGGAAATTTATCATATCAACAGCAGCAGCTTTTTCCAAGAATTTTGAAATACCTTGTTTTAACCATCTTTAATGAGGAGTCCTAATATCTAACATGCAAATCCATCTGACTCTTCTTGACAACTTGTTTGTAAGATTCATCAAATTGGCAAACAAACTGATCAAGCTCTGATAATGTCTCACACAAAATTTTCTTAAAATATGGCGCAATTCCAAAGCACACAAGATAAGTGCACTTTGTTTTCCCAGAAAATTGTTTAGCTATTTGACTATCACTAAACATTGCAGTAAATAATTCAGATTTGTTTGCACTTGATTAACAATGTTGTCAGATTAAGTGTAAACTTACTAGATTTAGATAAATCAATTTTTGCTTTTTGTACTACTATATTTATTTTTCAGATTTAATTTTTTAAAAATATTTTTAATAATATTTTTAAAAATTCTTTTAAAAATTTTTTTAAATATTTTTAATCAATTTATTGTGCAATAAATTTGTATATTTTATATTATAAAATTTACAAATTTATTGCGCAATAAATTGCATAATGTAAAACTGACATAATGTAAAACTGACATAAATTAAAACTGACATAATGTAAAACTGACATAATGTAAAACTGACTCATTTTGTATTTGTATTATATTAATTAAACACATTTATAGTTGTTAAAATTATTATTCTTCTTGTCAACTTTATAAATTAAAATCATGTAATTAAACATAAATATATAAACATAATTATTATCTTTTATTCGAGCAGATAAAAAGGACCCCTTTGTGGCTCTCATATACAATGAAAAATCTAAAATTTGTCTCTCTTTAATTCAAACTTGCCCACCCCTGTTAAATCCTGTGAAAATTAATTAAAAAATATCTTAAAACCTTAAAACTCAACATTTCCCTCTTTAAGACCAGCCAAATTGTTTTTTAAACATATGTCTGAATATTGCTATCAAAATATATACACTTTTATATTTTAAAGAATTTTAAAAATGTATTTATTAAATAAATATGGTCAAACAAAATGTGATAATTATTTTATTATTACAGACAAATAAAGTTAAACATTAAAACACCAAATAATTTTTGTTATTACTTACTATTATTTGCAAATAATTTAAAATTTAAATAATTTAAACATTTTTTCATATAAAACCTTATATTATAACTTATAATATCAGTTAGAGTATTTATAATATAAGTAATATATTATTAATTGTATATTTTATAGAAAATGTAGAACATTTATGTATTTATAAATAATATGTAAAGTTTAGATATGGCAGTGTTAATTAGTAAAACCTTACCATATCTTGTTAAGTGACATTGAAATTTGCTTGAAAAAGAAAAATTAATACGAAACACACTAACTTAATGTATTTCATTTTCGTAACTTAGTGACTAAGCTATAACTGTAGGCACACCAAGCCATATAACCTAATTTGAAAAATTTTCAACATTTGCCTATAGCATAAAAAAATAAAAAATATGCTTTCAGTTTGATAAAACATTAAACAAGTCTGTAAAAAAGTAAACATTGACTCTCAAACTTATCAATGGCTATGAAATTTAGAGCATTTAAGAAGTTTAAGAATATGATATGTAACTGATATGTAAATAATTATTTTTTTGCAAAAATACTAAAAATAAACCATATTAAGTTCCTGTTCACTCCAAATGCAAGTGTATATTCAATCCAAATCAATTTGCGTTACTGTATATGTCATTTTAAAAGATTTTATCATACTTTCAAGCATAATTTTTGCCGCAATTGTTGCACCATATAGAACCCATCTTTTACCCAGTTCAAATCCCAGCCATAACTCAGTTCCAATAATTGAGTTAAATCTAAGCTAGGACCCAGTTGTCGTGGTTAACCGGGCAGTTTATTATTTTTATTATTAATTACTTTTACTTGCAAACAATACGCAATACAAATTATTTTTAAAAAATTTCATATAAAACTTTATGCTACAAATTAAAATTTAAGTTATAATATTTATAATATAACTCAAATTTTAAATATTATCACTTTACAAAACATAGTATTACTATGTTTTGTATAGTGATAATATTACTATTAGTAAGGTTTAACGAAGTGACATTTATAAAAGTTTACTTATTATTTTTTGTTAGTCATTGTTTTATTTTTTAGTTATTAATTATTTTTAAATAGTGATATCTATAGTAATAATAATATAGTAATTAAAATAATTTAAATAAATTGGTATAATTTTTCCATACAACAATCGTTCTTACAGTTACAAACAGTAATAAACTGACAAAACGTAACAACTAACGATGTAACCACTGCAAAAAAAATCATGTAAAAAGTAAACACTGCAAAAAAAATCATGTAAAAAGTAAACATTGGTAAAAAAAATTATAAAGATTTAGTAAATATATTTTTCTTGTAATATAATAACCAAAATATATTGCAAATAATATGAAAAAGTAAATAAATAATATATAAACAGAAAAACACTTTGAGAAAATCAAAACAAAACAAAAGCTACAACAAACATTACAAGCAAAACAAAATATTACGTTAAGTTCTTTTGGTAATAAAAACAAAAAAACAACATCAACAATAAGAAGAAACCAACATAAATTAAAAATAATAAATAAATTTAAAAAAACAAAAAAGTAATAATAATACACGGTAGAATAAAACATATAAAATAAATGGTTAAAAAGAAATAAAAACAAAAGTTATATAACACTATAACAAATTAGTTAAAACAACATGTTATTATTGTTATTATGATTATTATTTTTATTGCTATTATTATTACTATTTTAATCATTATCATTAGTTGTTTACGTAATATTAGTAGTTTGTACTATTTGTAAACAACCATGAAATGTAATACCAAATATTTCAGAAATATATATTGATTGATTGATATAAAAATTTAGATATCATTTGTAAATGCATAAAATAAATGTAAGATTTAAGATTTTCTATAAGTTATATATTTGATAATATATTACTTACGCTATGAGTAATATATTAATTATATTATTTATAAAATATGTAAAATCTTACACTTAATAAATGCATGACTTTAATTTTTTTCATAAGTATGTAAAACTTATTATTTATAAATACGAAAACCATTTATTAAATGATTTATGTGGAAATGAATGATATGATAAGATTATATACTGCAATGCTACATAGTAAAACTTTGCTATGTTTTGTAAAAAAAAATTGTCAAAGTCATTTTACAAAACATAGCAAATTCAAAGGTTTTTCAAAAAGTCTATGAGATTTGTTTGAAATATAAATTAAAACTAAACACACTATGCCATTACTGTAAGCACACTAAACCATATAAACTATTTTTAAAAATTTTCAACATTTGTTCATTGCATAATTACAGAATATGCCTTTAGTTTAATAAAAAATTTAACAATTCTAAAAAAAAAAGTAAACGTTAACATATCTCAAACTTATTAATAGCTCAGAAATTCAGTCTGAACTTCAGTATAAAATTTCATTTCTCAAATTTTTTTTAAGGAAGAGCATTTAAGAAATTAAGCAAGTCATATTTTTTTTTCTTTTTGGTGTGTGAAATAGTTTTTTAAATGGATGACTAAATGTTGATTTTAACATATTTACACTTTTAGTATAGAATTAAAACTGATATGTAAATATTTTTTTACAAAAATACAATAAAAAAACCAAATGAAGTTCCTGTGGATATTTACTCTAAATGCAAGTGTATATTAAATCTAAATCAAGCCGCGTTACTGCATATAACATTTTGAAAGAGTTTTGTAATTTTATTTCAACAAAACTTTTATATAAAAACAATGCTAAAAAAACTGCTTTGATGAGAAAATACACTCTACCATTATTAATGGTATTAAACATATTTAATGGCATCATAGTTATAAGAAATAGATAGTCTGGAAGCACGGGCCGTTTCCATCGTTTTACCGTTTTAACTTAAAATTTGATATTCGGCCCGTTCACCCTGCACAACTTTAAAAAATGACCAATGAAATTTATATAGAAACACAGCTTGATGATCTGTATATAGCTATCACTGATGGAATTTTTGACAATAACAAGGAAATTGAGCATGATCTAGATGTTTTATTATTTGAAGATTGTTTGCTATCCAATTTTTCGTGCAACTTGTGTTGTAAAGTTTATAAAACGAAAAATGGCATAAAAAAAAAAACAAATTCGAAACACGAACTAATCAACCCAGTGAGCGAAAACAAAAACTCCATAACATTTTGTCATCTTGATCTTAAAAACATTGTTGAAGATTCTGCTTATAAATTGTCAAATGATTTATTTTTGCCTGAAAAAATTAGAGTTAAATTTTTAAAGCAGAACTTCAGTTTTAATTTTGAAGATTCTATTTTTCTTTTAGAAAAATTACAGGCTTTTATTTCAAAGTACAATGGTGATGCAGAAAAATTTTATTCTCAGTTTAATGGGCTTCTTCATGAAAATTTATTGCCATCAAAGTTTGACGATATTTTATTGACCAATACTTTGCTTACTGAAGTTGCCAATCATATACTTTAAGATCTTTCAGGAAATAAACATAATACTTCATCTTATAATGAAATTTTATCACCCAATAATTTTTCCGAGAAAGAATTAAGTATAATTCAATATTTGGCTGGTTATGTTGTGCAAAAACTTTACTCGAAGTTTAAATTTTCTAAATCTGAGGAGTATAAAAGAAAATGCATGGAAATATTATCAGCATGTAAAATTGATTCAAATGATACCCAACTGTATATTGATACTAAGAATAGAGCTATTTTATTTAAAACTAACATTTATACTCAAAATATCTTTATTCAATGTGAAACAATTTTTCGTAAACAAAGCAAATCTTTTGTAACATCTATTGACAGCAAAGCCCTGGTTAATGAAATGCTTAAGGACTCAGTTATTATAAGTAACTTAAACAATATATGTTACAGTACTGAAGTGCAGATTGATAAAGAAATATCTTTCTCTCTTCTTGAAAGTATGCTTATTTTGTTCACGAAGGTAAGACGCTTTTCCTATGCTAGAGATATTCGTGAAAAACATCAGATCAACAAGCGACAAACACGCAAATCTTCTTTAAGAACAGAGTTAAGATAAGCCATGTGCAGCAATGTAGTTGCTCCTTAACTCTTGTTTTCAGGCTTTTAGCTATCTGCTCCGAAAGATAAAAAACGGTTATTTTTATAGCCACAAATTTAATGAAAATGTTATGGCTAAAACAACTTAATTCTCTTTAAATAAAAATATAGCAAGTTATACGTTGAATAAAAAAAAGATTATTAGTTTCATATACAATTGTGTTTTTTATGTAGAACTATGTACAGTGAGGCAGAATGCCATCCTGTC